TTCTTAGAAAGAGCAAATATCAGTAACATTAAATTATGAAACCTATAATCGGAGTAGAACAGTCATAAGCGAAACAAAAACTACTTTTCTCTAAACACCGGCAACTTTCGACTGCCTGGCAACGCAAACAGATGTAAAACATTGACAGCTTACTGTCAGGTGATCTGCTAAACCTCTGTCAGCATAAAGATCCGCTGCTTTCTGTTGCAGCCGGTCAAAAAAATAAATGTAAAAAAAAAAATCAGCCCAACATTTTCAAAGTCCACCATCTCGAATTACAAACATGACATTTAAAAAAACGCAATGTGAGCAAATAAACAAACAAAAAAATAGAACAAAATAAATAGATTGATTCTTTTAAACTGTTTTCCGTGGCTCGGCTCGGTTTTCTTCCCTAGTTGGATTCGACCCAAACCGAGCCAAAGGCCGGCCTTGTTTTTTTTTTTTTTTCCCCTTTTACCAACCAGCTTCTTGAAAAAAAAAAAAAAAACAGACTCACACACACACTGCACCACCATTAGCGGTTTCAACATCAGGGTACACCGGACACCAAGCACACAGACCTAACAAATGCACGGATGTTTGGCGTTTAAAAGTTACCTTTAAGATTGGAAACACTCTGGAGAGGCGACTTCTATACCGTTTCGGAGCCGAGAGCGAGCTAACTAGCTGTTATTGTTCAGGACAGCCAAGTGGATTCGGCGTTACGTTAGCCAGCTAGCTCCCCGGAGCTCGACTGCTCGGCCAGCGTTAATTAGGCAACGAGTCGGCTCAAGTTGCCCCGAATTGTACCTCGGTATAAACACCAAAAATAAAACCTAACGTGAACTGACGAATGAAAATATGAATAAAAATAGTGAATTTGGCACTTTGCTAGAGAGCTAGCCTTCTTGCCTCCTAATCAGCTACCTATCAACTACCCAAAGATCAGCTTCTCCTTTCACTTCCTTCTCTACAACTACGTCGGCGTCTGACGTAAGACGCAGCCCACCCATCTCATAAAAAACGCGCAAATAAAAATAAAAATGGCTATATTAGAGAAATGATGTGCCATTCACAGCTTGGTAATTATTATATTCATGCGAGGTTACATTTATTGAATTTGTCATTTTGTCAGCTAATGCTCTTAAACAAAATAGCCTAAGGATTTTTTTTTTTGTAAAGACTAATACCGACCTCTTATTATTGCCTTATTACCTCATAAAAGTGAACACAATTACAGATGAAACATAGTTGAATATGTCCACTTTTCAAATAAAAAATCCAACTCATTCAACCTTCTGGCAATAAAAAATGTCAAAATATCTCAATGGGAGATAATTCTTCTATGAAATGAATTATGTGTGAGCAAAGACTATCACACAGAATTAAACAAATATAATTAATAATTATTTTTGTTTTATAATCATAAAAAAAACAAAGTATATGGCTCCTGTGTTGTTGGATCAGGGTCACTTTGCAGCCATCATATAATTGCTTTGAGAGAAAGCGCACAATTAAATGAATGTTGTAAAAGTTGTTAGGAGTGAATATACTATATTTTTAAGCTGTGATATTCTGTCGTAGACTCAGAAGGCTGTGAAGAATAAAAAGGTTAGAATGTATTACATCAATAAACTACCTATCATAAAAAAGATAAAAAGGTTACACGTTATTTTCTAATTTAACAAAAATCATCCTTTATCTACCATCAGTGGCATTGTTAATCAATTTCAATTCTTGATCCGCATGAGTTTTTGTTTCCGCGGTTGACTAATGGAAACTAAACCACCATCACACGAATGGTCCTGTCTCACTTTGCATGTTCAACATTCAAGAGCTCAAACTTGAAGTTAAGCCTTATCTGATTACAGATGAAGCAGCTACTCATAACATGAAGTCAAGTCAGGACATGCCTGAGTTTTACAGTGACATATCTGTAAAAGCTTGATTATGACAGCAGTCGACAAAGGAAAAGGATGGACTAAACGGAAAACCATTTTGTATTCAATACCATTGGCTTCTTTGTCTGTCATTTAACCCTTTAAAGGGCAAGTTACCTTTTTGGATTAGTTGCATACCCCTTACAAATGGAGTGAGATCTACAAGCACAAGATCTATATTCAGCCATTCAGCAAATATATTGCTATGTGGCTGTTCATATTATTTTGGCGTTTGACCAATTAGATGAACACTTGACTGATATATTACCTTTACTGTAAATTAAGCTGAAAAAAGTTAACAAGTCAAGAAAAAAAGGTAAAAAGCTAATTGAAACGTTAAAAAGTAACCTTAAAAAGTCAATAAGCCTAGTTGACAATTATATTTAGGTTTATAAACTAAAAAATGTAAGTGCCGGTATCAGCATTAATGCCTCTAAGGTTATGTTGGACCAAAAAAATATGTTTCTTTCATTCTCAAAGTGTTTTTCATGAATTTCTGATAGAAGTACTTTTGTTATTTTTCTTATTATATTCAGACAAGTTGGTGTTTCTTGTTAATATATTGATATACATTTTTGTCATCAAAATATCCATATTTATTTGGACAAATATTGATATTTGGCTTTTGGATTTGGATTTTCAACGTATTTCACTGAGTGCCCTATAAAGGGTTAACAAGTAAACATATTTTAACAAAATGCTTCCTGGAAATCCACCATATCTTCTGAATTCTAATCCCCATCTTCTATATTTACTCCAACACCTGCTGCTTTATGAGGTCTGAATCATGGAGATTTGATTTGATTTGATTTTCCAGTAAGCTATTAAGTTAATTGCATCCCCAAAGCAGTGATAAATGTAAATGACTCAACTTTGAAAGTAGAATAGGCATTACATTCTTTCAAAATAAGGATCTAAAAGTATTAGGTCGAAATATTTTGAAATAGTTTTAACAATATGAGACACCGTTAGAACCACACTGCAATTACTTTTTTAAACCCTTATTGTAACTTCTGAAAGCTGATCTGTATTTAATAGTAAGGACCTTGATACCACCATCTTTTTTCAGTTTTTGTTTAGTAAGGGCTGTTTTAAAATATAATTTTTACTTTGTGATATAAAAGCTGAATAGAAGCAGGATCAAACATGGTAAAAACAGTGGTCTAGTTTAATAATAGGCATATTAGAAGTAACCCACCTTTGTTCAGGCATAAATATTTTAAGGATTATCTGCTTAATTCTTTCGTTGCAGTGACTTATGAAAGAGGAAATAAAACTGATCACTAGAGGTCAGTGTAAACTAAGTTTTGTTTTTGATTTTTTCCTCCACACGCATGTTTGGACCTTTGCTGACTAACAGAGAACTATGGGGAATTAAGATGTAACTTAAAAAGCACAAAGGTCAGATATGTAAACAAATAATTGAACAAGCAAACAAGAGGAGACGTTACAATGTTTACATATCACAAACCCTTTGAAATATTGTTATAATTCATTTATTTAGTAAACTAGAAGTATAAACATGATTCAGCAGCACATAAATTGACCGATTCATGTGAAACAAGACAAAGCATAATATTTATTTCTTATGTTAGCAGAAAGAAATACAACCTTACATAGGCTGTAAATGCATGCAACATTTGCATAACAGTGGTCATGCAAGATTGTTGAATCGCAGGAAAGATAGCAACTTTTCCTTTTCCTGCAGATAAATAACGAGGAATACATTATCAACATACTCTGAAATAACCGTTAACTTTACATGTGTTTAAAATGTTCCAGTCAAAGTCCTAAATTCATTCGGGAATCTGAGGTAGGATTGGGAAACTGATGCTCACAAACATAATCAGGTTTGTCTGAGTTTGAGATATTTACAAAGAAGAATTAAGTGAGTTTTCAGATTTCAGATGCGCAAAGCTTTTAATAGGCTTGTTTTTACAGTAAGGTGTGTTTCTACAAAGTATTGAAAGGTGGGGTGGGGGGGTTGGGAATACACATGGGTGCCTTAGTTCTCAAATTTGAATTGGTATAGCGTATTTCCCTTAACTCCATAATAATGTTATAGTTGTAACATAACAGAATGAAGAATTGCAGAGTTAGAACTACTTCTTGTGAGGCACTGTTGTTCAATTAATGCTATAACTTTTCCTGAGAAAACAAATGTATATCCTGAAAAAAAGTTGATAAATCATAATAAAAAAAAAGAAAATGTTAAGATGATTAACAGATGAAAATAAAAAATTAAAAACTTAAGATGCCTAAGACCAAAAAGAAAGTTGTATCTCTGACTTTTGAAAACAATTTTTGATTGTAAGCTTTGTCCCTCTTTTTCTGTTTTTACAAACTGGACTAATTATTTAATTGATGGGAAACATGTGTTAATGGTTGCTTACTGTATTAGATGAGAATGAACCTGTGCATCAGGCTCAGTGCTTTGCTGTCTTTAACAGGTGTTCATAAAGGCTTTCCCTGTATTTAGTTCCTTACATCGTCCCAATATCTCTGACCAGACTGTTTTCTCTTTTAATAAAACACAGCAAGATTCTGTTGACACCATGCATCACTTTGAAGTCTCAGTTTTCTGTATTTAGCATACAGATTGAAAAGCCTTTACAATGTTTGCTGCGTCCCCTACCAGTGACAGAGACCAGTAATCGAATTAAGGGGGGATGAGAGGTGATGGCATCCACCTTCTTAAAAAAACCATCCCCCTTCTTTCTTCTTTTTTTTTGAGTTTTTACGGCACTAGTGGCTTGTTTTTTCGCTCAGTAGGCTGACAGGAGAGGGGGTATGAGAGATGGGGAGAGACATGCGGCAAAGGACCACAGGTCGGATTTGAATCCGTACATGGGTTGTGCACGCTAACCACTGAGCCACCTGCACGGCCATGTTAAATGACCATCGCCCCATACCATCCCCTGTGAAATTTTATTACTGATTGTGTAAAATTTCTACTATATATTAGCAGTAATGGCAATAATATTGCCCTTTCAACATTTGGCGGGCTGTGGGCTTACGAGTAGCCTGAGCAAAATAAATGGTTTACCATGATTATGAAGCTGATCCCAGTGTTAAATTAGTCCCTAACTGTGTAGGGGCAGTGATAGCCATGCCAGTCCAGGGACTGACTGCAGTTCTACTGTAAGGTGCCTTGGTCAAGGTCAATGACCAGCGTACCTGACATGTAACAACCATACCATGCATATTACTTTAGGTTAACAGACTATGTTAATTAGGGTATATGTGCTTAAAAAAAAAATCCACCATCCCCTTCCTTTAAAAAAAATTAAAATAAAATCTAGACTACTGGTGGAGACAATTTTCATAGGGGTGGCCAAAAACAAATACCTGGCAGAACCAGTTTAGGCACAATCTACACTAATCACACTGTACCAATAGGAAAATGAACAGGCATAACTTAAATAAATAAATAACTAAAGACAGAATAGATTGTCACAAGGCATTTCTTTTAAATCTATACACTAAGGGAGGGCGATATATGGCTAATCTAATCTAATCTCTTATTTTCTTTTCTACCAAATCCAATTAAGCGATTTGCTTGTCCCGTAAGTTTTGCAATAAAAATTACAAATGACATATGCTTGTAAAACAATGTTTCACAGCAAGGATATAAAATACAACTCACTAAATGTTAGTAGTTTATCAATTATACGAATGAATCTAGGAACAAAAAGTTTGGAACTGATACTTCTGAGCTACGAATGCCAGAGAATTGCATTGGCGGAAAAGAAAATACAGGTTTGCCAAAAAATAAAATTATTAATAAACAGAACATTTAATAAATCAATTGAATCAAATAATCACCCAGGCGTTCAACACGCATTTTTCTACATCTGCAGAGTGCGATGCAATAATTTACAAATCTGCATGACATACAAATTAAGTTATGACTTTCCCTTCTCCACAATAAAACACACAATCTAGATTTAGATTAAAAACCAGTAAGCACAATTCTGTATTTGTTATTTTCAATGCAAGTATGTTGATATGAATAATTAATTCTACCACTTTGTTTGCTTTTAGTTTATATATAATAAACTAACTAAAATGTCAAATTACTTATCACATTACCCTCGACAGTATCACTGCTGTTTCAGATCAAAACTGTTTGATCTGGAGGCGTTAAATTACATCCACATAGGAACAACAAAACACCTGGTAGGAATGGCCAACAAGTGGCCGGGGCTGGTCATGGCCACCCCTGGCCACCTCTTAGCTCTACCCCTGCCTCTACATATCTTTTTAAAATACCAAACTAGACTATCCCCTATTAATTTATATTCTCTTAGAAATCTGTGGCTCCACTGCTGAATTCATGGCACACAGATAGACTCTTGTTACACAGGTGACTTTAGAGAGCTTAGGATGATGCATTTAAGTGGTATCAAAGTAAAGAGAGCTGAATTCAAATGCACATTTTTTTTTTTTTTGAACTTTATAAAATCTTACATACTTGGTGTTTATCCATCAGACATAATCCTTATGAGATACAATGAAGTTTCTGATTTTTATCAGGGCAAAACATAAAAATTAAATTTGAAGGATTTAACATACTTTCACAAGGCTCTGTTTTTCTTACACACTCCTTAATTAGATTTAGATTATTATGATACTCATTTCACATTACATAATAAAATGACCCATTATATTTGGAAACAAAACGGAAATCTAAAATCCATCCAACGCTTAGAGTTAACTGGGCACAAAGCAGGGTGCACCCTGGACAGGTCACCAGTTAATCACAGAGACAGATAAAACAAGGGACATACAGCTATACCAGGGGGATTTAGATCGACAAATTCACTGTCATGTTTCCAGGTAACTGGTAAAATGGGAAGGACATGTAAACTGCCTGGATTTAAATCCCACAACTTCTTTTTCTGCAAGGCATACAGTATGCCCCAACAGGTGCACCAGTATCAATGGATTGATATCTATGTCTAAATCTGTCTCTTTTCTATGCTCAGATATGAGATATCAGAGTATGATACATTTTCCTGTTTCCCCTTCACCATGTCACTAAATGTCTTCCTAATCTCGAGTCCTGAAATTTGTTTTAAAAATCTCAACAACAAAAAAACAATCCACTTGAGTTTGTTTCCAAGTTTGAAGTCTTTTAAAACGGTTAACATGATGATGATCTAATTTCTCATCTTCAGCCATCCTAACGGATGTTTTTCTTAATCCCTCCTGAGTGTTCATCAGCCAAGAGTGAACGCACCTCTCCATGTTTACTCTCCTTGTTACTGGGTGTGTGGTTCTGCAGAATCTTGATGATTAGGATGACTTTGGTGTTTGGAGAAGGATTCCTGTCTTCTTGTACCTTTTATGGCTTCTTTGGAATTTACTTTGTAAACAAAAACGGCACACAGGCCATGCAACAGGACAGGATACTCAAAGCATCCGTCCCAAATAATGGCCAAGGTGAGGGGTGGGAGATGCTGGCTCAAATTTCATAAATGAGATGGGTCTCCATTCATATTTCCATTATAAGTTCAAGAAAAATGTGGAAAAAAATGTGTGTAAACATGCATCTCTGTGTGTGGCAAAGTGGGAGTGTAGGTTGCTGAGATGAAGAGATGGTGTGTGAGTGTGGGGTGTAGGTTTGTGTGTGTGTTGGGGGTGGGTGCATCAGTCCGTGTCAGACAGCAAAGAGTGCTGCATTTATCTAGGAATCCGAGCCAAAGTAGCCTCGCAAACACAGAACAGGCAGGACTAAGAGGAGGATGACAACTGACATGAACTGAAGAAGAAAGACAGGAAGGAAATCTGGAAAAAAAAGATCAACATTACAAAGATTTGAACAAAAAGGAGGAGAATATCTATGGTTTTTACAGAAAGAGACACATCTTGGACTTTGAGAGAATAGAAGAAATATTTTTTCAGGGAATAAATAACAGAAAGACATTGCAGCATCTGGACCGTGGTTCCGGCTTTAAACTTTTTTTCTCATGATTTCTTCCAACTCTCTCAGGATGCTTCCTTTGCTGTCCCTGTATGTGGGAGCTCTGCTGTTCTCAGATGCATCTCCGCCCTGCTTACATCCACCTTGCAGGGAAAGTTTAGTGGCAACATCTGCTTCACTGGGTCCAGAAGAAACAGTGACTACCAGGGCCTGCGAGGGTCAAGCTGGGAGAAGTGGATGCAGCTTGGGTGCTTCCGTTCTTGCTGTCTCAGACGGTCCTCAAAGGGCTAAGCAAAGAACACTGACTGAGTTTCCTCAGATTGAGTTTAATGTAAGTGGAACAGCCATACCACAGGACTGCATCAGGAGACAGAATTACTAGAAAATTGTTTTCACTTTACAAATCTTTTATCGTGTAAATATGCAACTTTATTTTCTTGATGTGTCTGGGTTAGGCAGACCTGAGACCTCTGAGTGTACTTTCCAGGGAGAGTAAGTGGCTTACTATCAGGGCACAGGCCATAGACACTAAACTTGGCACTGCCACACAGCCACTGAGAAATAACTGTCGGCGATCAAAGAGGGGATAAAATTAGGACTGTTTTAAAAATGTCTCATCATATGGTTGTACTGAGCTCATGCAGCAACAGGTGCTGGGGACCTGATCACAATCGGTGACATAAGTGTGAAAGACAGAAACCCAAGCCATTAGTTTGGGGATTAATAGCTGGAATGCCATGTCTTACTGACTAAGGGGTTGTCTTCACACATAGTGGTAAATTTCAGCTTTTTTTTCATAAATAACATCAGTCTGAAATAATTAGACAATGCTAGGCTGTGTTTGCTGAATATATAGAAAACTGTCATTACTTTCCACTTTATGATTAGGCACACATACCAAAGTGTGTGTAATGTATTTTATGGCAAAAGTGACCCTATTTCTATTATTTGCATGACAAAATATATAAATCTATATTTCATATTGGTATTTTGAAAGTTTCCTAATAATTTCACAGATTTTATACAATTGCCTTTCACATTGTTTACTTTATTTTGCTGAATAAGAATCTCCTTATCAATCTACCAAACAGGTCATTTACCATGCAGCCATAATTCCTGTTAACCTATAAGAACTGACTTGCAGACTGGAGGTGTCAAAGAGCGCCTGGTTCAGCTGCAGCGCTGCATGGGCTCTCTCCAAGAATCAGGAGGCCCGTGGCGTGATGGGGAGCAGGAAAACAGCTCTCTGGGAGCCATCCTGGCACTAATGGCGGCTGTGCTGACTGAGTGTGACCTCCGCTGTCACAGCCAAGCACTTGGGGCGATGGCCAAGAGACTAGGTGGGTCGCACAGGCACACAAGAAAGATACACATCTAAACACACAAATGCAGTATGCAATAATACCGGTGCAGTCACTCCTTCTCAGATTGTAAACAATTGTCTGCAAAATGTCATAGGTGAGTGCACAGGAATTTAACTCTGTGAGGAAGGCAAAACAAAATTTTAACACACGACATAATACCTGCCTCTGTGGCTTAAAAAGACATCCAATTTCCCCTGCCCTTTCATCAGTTCAAGAGTTATTAAAGATTTCACAAAACTCTTTGATTTCTACCAATAATTAAACCAAAACAACTCTTGAACTCATGAAGGTTCAGTACTCTGCAGTACTCTTAAGTCTTGCCTATCTTTTTCGTTCATCTTACCTTTAAAAATCCAGACTTCCAATAAGTGTTATTTTTTCATAGAGTTGTTCAGATATTAGATTTTTTTTCAGTTTTTGTGATGGATCTCATTTTATTTTTAAACTCACCTTTAATCTATCAGCACTTTTTGTTTAATCAACTGTTTCATAAAAAAAAAATGCTTAAATAGTTCCTAAACTCAAAGGATCCTAGTGATGTCACACTGCAAACAACTTACAAAAAAACACTTTTTTAAATTCTCTCTTTGCACCCTCCTCTCTGATTTCTTAAGCCTAACCTCTTGCTACCTGTGATGTTACTCTTAACTTACCAGCTATACTGATACTGTGAAGTTTCTCTCGGTTCTCAGAGAGTGCGACATTGGGCAGCAGAGAAGGTGAAAAAGACCTGCTGCTTTTCCTAAGGAGCATCACACAGTTTCCAACTACAGGTGAGGGGAGTTTTTATGTCTAAACGTGTAAGTTGTGCTCTATTGAGGTCAATAGAAATGTGTCCTCTGTGGCTTCAGCTGCTCCCATGGAGAGGTTACACCCACAGGACTGTGCAGAAATCTACAGACTTGGGATCAAAGAAACTGGTGTTTATACAATCCAACCTGAACTGAATGGACCATCAATAGAGGTATTTCTAACCTGCTGTTATAATGAAATGCTTTCTACAAAAAGCTTAGAGCAGAGGTCTTCAACAGGGGGTCCGCGACCCCGCGGAGGTACTGCATGGGGGTCGCGAAAGTCTTGGTTGATTACTTTTTTTATATTCCCTCCTGCAATTTTTTGCACTAATTAAAATTTCTTTAAATACACATTAACATGAATTGAAAACACTGTAGTAAACAGATAAATGAAAGCAGAAGATGTCTTTCAGTCATCAATGCACACATTCAGCGACACACAGGAGCTCTTTCAAACCTGGGCACCGTTTCATTCACAACACCTGTCCCATCAACCAGGAATCAGAATNAAATTACTTTCGTTACATGACTCCATATGTAATAGAGTGACTATAGGACCAGTTTGATATAACACAATTTCATACAATATATATAATTAGGGGGTCCCCGCTCCATCTCGCAATCAGTTTGGGGGTCCTTGGCTTTGAAAACGTTGAAGACCCCTGGCTTAGAGTCATCTGTGGAAATGAATGAAAATCATACCAGTCTTTGCTTTGGCCCAGGCTAAATGTGACATGGAGACAGCGGGCGGAGGGTGGACTGTGATTCAGACTCGGCAGGATGGCTCGGTGGACTTCAACAGGACTTGGCAGGAATACAAGGAGGGCTTTGGTAGTCTGCAGGGGGAGCACTGGCTGGGGAACGCAGCACTGCATGCTCTCACCTCCACTGGTCAACATCAGCTCCGCGTTGAGTTGGAAGACTGGTACCAACAGAAGAGACAGGCAACCTACAGCAACTTCAAGGTGGCCTCAGAGGCAGATAGGTAAACAGCAATGCAGAAACTGACTCAAAATAACATGAATGACTTTACTGAATCAGGAATTTCAGTGTTTTATTCTTTTAGACCAAAAAGAGACCCAAAACGAAATGATTTTTCTTTTAATGTCTAATACAAATATAAGATCCTCATATATTGCAAAGGTAAGATTATAGCTGTATGAAAGACCCAACGCTGTTAACAAAAGATGGCTCTGCATGAAATTCTCACATATCCTAAAAAGAAAGAAAGAAAAAGTTTGGTGCAACATTAAAGGAAAAATCGGGTCAGCAAGGAATAATCAATGGATCATTATCTATACCCAAAACTAATATGTTCGCAGTCATTTAATAAATTTAGCGTTGATCAGTAAAAAAATTAAAATAATAATTTTTGTCGCGATCACTAAGTCACTGGCCACTTTTGCCCAAATATAGTAACACCTCACCTCCGACATCTTCCGGCAGTGATGTCATGGTGACTTGGATAATAGCGCGTTGTGACAAACAGAGTGTTGGGACTTGATCAACAGCCGATACCACACTATCGTATCACAAACCGGTAGGTGGCAGTAGTGTTCTTTGACAAACATGGATGTCTCCGGTAAAGCACATTCAAATGAAAATTACTCTTAATTTAAAACACTTATTTTTCTCAACAGCATCTAATTTCATATTAAAGTACTTTCAGAAGTTTGAATTCTGAATATGGCCTGACTTTTCTCTTAAGGCCTGACCTTTAAGCAGCTGTAATCTTAACAACTCACAAACTGCAGATGTTAACAGTTTTATACTGACCAAACATCATCAGGCTGCAACTATAGAAACATGATAGAATAGAATAGAAAATCCCTTGATTGTCCCACAATGGGGAAATGCTGGTATTTACAGAAGCAAAAAGATTATAGGAAAAAATAGTCTAACAAATATGGACCTTAGAAAAATGTATAAGAATAACATAATAGAGTTAAAAGATAAATGTAAGTTAAAAGATAGGAGCTACAGTATCACAAATGTTCATGATCAAATGCATTCATACCCCTTTCACCTTTTCAAATTTTATCTTGTTTCATCACAAACATCATTGAATATTATTTTGATTTTCTGTCATAGACAGAAGAACCTCTGAACACACAACTCTAATAAATGTGACAGTTATATATTTTCTTCTGCCCTTGAATGAAAAAAGGTTTAGAGCAACATGTTCCTGTATTTACAGGTTTACAGCTGCAGGGTTGCTTAGAGTATATAGTATCTCTGATGTGGCTTTGCACATTTATAGATTAAAGTGTTTTTCACTTTATGTTTTGCAATATAGCACAAGCTCAGTCAGACTGAATGAATTCATTTC